ACCAAAATTCAAATTGTAATAGGTTTCAAATCTGAAATCTTTATTTTTGATGTTTTATTGTTCTTTCCCCAGTTTCGGTTAGCTTTGATCCATTTAGGTTCTACATTTGGCAGGCCGATGATCAATTTTGAATAGTTTTGCTTCGGAAAAGGCCTTAAAAGTGCGGAAGACTTGATTGAAGTGGGCAACTGAACCGGCCAAGTTGTCGGCGCGGGGAAGAGCAAGGAAGTGGGGAGTGGGGAGCAGAGCAAGTCTTGTGTAACCTAATCTCCAAGGAGAGACAGAGAGAGAGCGCGAACGGCGAACAAACACAGGCAAACAGAGAGCAGACAAACAGACAGAGAGACAAACAGACATACAGAAAGAGACGGCAAGAGGCAAACAATGAGGAAAGCAGCAAAGCAGCAGAGCGAACAAAGCACGCTTGTCCATATTCCAAACAAGATCTCCTCTGCTCGCCGCCTAATCAACAACGTAAAAAAATAAATAAAAATGAAAAAAAATAAAAATAAGCAACGAAGAACTGCGCAGCACAGGCAACAAAGAAAACTGCCTCGTTTTCACCCTTAACCCATGACGACAAAGCAAACCCAACCCAGTGAAGTTTGATCAAACATGTCAGATAACAAAGATCATTTCGGCTTGCCGTGAATTTAAGAACCTTTCGTAACTGAAACCATAAAAGCAGTGCCACCAGAGCGAGACGGATGTAAGCAGAGAGCCGAGGCAGATAGATAGAGAGAGCCACTAAGGCAAGCCCCAAAAAAAAACGCGGCCAAAATCCACCACTTGGCCCAAGAAACTCAACTCAACACGCGTCAAGAGGCCAAAACTCAACATGTGACAAAAAAAAAAACATTACAAGAAATATTCAAATTTCAATTAGCTAAGTCATTTCACCTAATGAAACAAAGTACACGCATCAAATATAAAGTGATATAATAAGCACAGTTCCTATGTATGCATGTTTTAGTTAGACAAGTTAGATAGTTGAATGTAAAAAACACGCGCCGCTAGTTGATGACGTCGCCATGGGCAAAGAGGCCCCGACTTTATCGTACTCCCCACTTAGGATGCCCCACCTATTGGTTCTTGCGTTAAAGGTAGAATCATGAAAGTAGGGAAGAAGAGCAGGCGTCTACTAAAATTAAAACTGTTGATAATACAAGCCCCAGGGCCATCGAAATCATAGGTGGTGCTTGCGTGTGCGCTGCGTTTCATATTCAATTACGTAGCTCTATCTGAAGAACCCTAAGGTGACATATGTGGTATATAGATGACGGGGTGTTGCGTGGGGAGCGGAACTTGGTCTTATGTCATACCACATAGAGCACACACACCTTGGTAGTGCGCCCCTACTAATCGGGAATGAAACGATGGGACGGGTGGCACGGGTGTGCAGCCTGATAGGAATGGGAACATCTAATCTGTTTGCATTATTCTGATACGACATTATTTCTCCTCTATGCGCGCTGCCACTCAGTACACATTTCATATTATATCGTAGTTTTTGCTAATAGGTATTACCTACTTGAACCATTGCCTCTGATAGAAATCTCATTGTTTAATCTGAGAGCATCTATATAATTAGCTTTTCGGTTGTGTTACTAGCACTTCAGTGTTATGTTACATTTGTGTTGGTTGGACTTGAAATCCGGTTTCTTGTTTATATGGAAACAGTTCAGTTCAGTTGCGTTCAGTTCAGGTTTCTTTCACCACCACGTGTTAAAAAGGGTTGATATTGCTAAAGACAAAGGAACATAACTTTATAATGGGTTTTTAGCTACGGCGTTGGTGCGTATTTAATTAAAAGGTTTTAGGAAGCAGCCTTTGAAAATGCTCAAAAATTAGATAACTATGTGGGATCGTATGAAGAAAGGCCATATGGTATTTCTCCCAATTTAATAATTAACTATTATTTAACTATTTAAAACGTAGAAATGCTTTTAAATTATGCTTAAAATCAGGTTTAGGCATTTTCGACACAAGCCACGTGGTTTCATAGGGTTGGGTTAGCTCTTCCAATGGATACTCTCCTGGTTTTCCAACTTTTTTATCATTTGGCCAGTTTCTCTGTGGTCGGCGACCACTTTTTTTCCTTGCCAGGGCTATAGTGGATAGTGGATTTGGTGACCTGGAGATTCGCGTTTGGGTTTGGTGGTGTTTGGACGGACGCCTCTCGTCATTCATTTAACATCCAGTTCGGTGGTGGTGACTTTGCATGCAGCATGAAATTCTCATTCCCATTCAGTGATGTGTGCAACATTTTAGCCTTTTCGCTGCCCAGACATGGCAAGAAAAACTGATGCAGCATGGTGATCGAATTAATGATGATAAAATGTATAGTTAAAAGCATATTTTTTCAAGCGTTTTAATTCAATTTTAAAATATTTAAACGCAAAGTAAATAAAAATGAATATAAGTCAGTAGAGGAAAGTACTACCTACAGGTTTTTAATGAAATGTATTATATTGGATTTGGTTTGAGGGATACAGATAGCGTTTGTATATATGGATGCTGCTTTCTTTCGGAGATTAAATATTGAACTGCATTTTTTTTCTGTGCACGCTTCTTCTTCCTCTTCTAGCTGGTGGTGGCTTCTTCATTCTCCACTTCTGTTTCGGCCTTTTCTGCGGGTGTTTTTTCCTTTTCTTTTGGGATTGGAATTGGTGGTGTGAATAAGCTTTTAGCGAAAGGCTTTTTTCCTTAGGCTTAGGTGGTAGGTTTTCCCGCATCACTCGGTATATATATTTTATTTGGCGGGGGTGGCATCTATGGCTTCTTCTTCTTCTTTTTCCTGTGCTTTTTGTCATTCTTCTGCTTTTTGCTGTTGTCGTAGTAGTTGCATTTAGGGTTATAAGCCAACATATGACATTCAGACAAATAAGAAGAAGAGACGAGGAGGAGAGTCCATTTTCCGAATGTCCGATAAGCGCAGCCTGCCAACATCATCATCGTCATCAGAAAGGAAGAACAAGAGAGGAGAGGTGGAGAAGGAAGAACAAGCAATTTGATTGCAGAACAAAGAGAAGCAGGCACAAAAATCTCTGCCACACCAACACACACACACACACGCGTGTGTAGAACACAGAGAAAGATGAAAAATAACTTCAAGTGGAGGCAACAGCACCAGCAACAACAAAAAACGAGCGGCAAAGAGATGAGAGTAAAAAAAAACCGTGACGCCATTGCCCATTTGCTTTTGTTGCCTTGCTGCAAAGTGGCAACAAGATGCAACAACACGGCGAAAGAGGAGGCACAGGGAAGAATAAGAAGCGAGTAAAATTCTTATCAGTCAGATTTTTTTCGTTTTTTTTTTTTTGTTAGTAAAGCCCAGACAAAGACAAAGCAGGCAGAGCAGAAGAAGAAGATAAAGGGGAAGGGCAGTCATTCCTCTCAATTAGAAATCTATTTGCAGAAATAAACCCAGCCGAGCAGAGAGCGGGATGTAAGAGAGAAAAAGCGAAGGAGACAAGAAGGAGAGAGAAGCCCGCATTATTGCGAAGCCTCTGTAATGCACCAACACACAACTGCACGCAATGCATATACGAAAACCAAGCCAAAGGAATGCAGGCCCTTCGAAAACCCGAATTTACCAATCCAAAGTTAAAATAAGATCTGTGGCTAATATGCAATACATCAGTCCATAAGATACTGATATTGTACTTTGAAACAAGTATAAAGTCAAAATAATACAGCTGAATAAGAAAATCAAACTGGTAACAGCAATCGGAGCTGTAACAGTAACTTCTGCACTCACATTAACAGTTGCAGCTAACATTTGACTTTTAACAGCGCAATGCAACTAGTTGGAACAATGACGTCGACGCTGAATGCGCTGCCTCCCTCTCTTTTTCTTTTCTTCGTTTGGCTTTTCAATTTCTGCCTCGCCTCTGCTTCTGTTTTTGTTTGTATTTTTTGTTGTACCGTTTTTTTTTTTTGCCGGTTTTGTGTTATGCGCATTTTACACATTTTGCTACTTTTAGTTTACCTTTTTTGCGTTGTTTTGTATAAATAACAAATAGATTATGAAATCGCTGGCAGACCGTGTGTATATGCGTATGAAAATATGTGAGTGATTAGATCAATTGGCACACACCCTCCCTCCGCCCTCCACCACACTCGAGCTCTTTGTGCTTAACCCTTCAAACATGCCATTACTTTGGAGGTTATATCAATAATAATCATAATAATAACGAGAACAGCAAGCAAATCAACTAAACAATGGCAGCTTAGCGACTAAATAACTTACTCACACACAGACACGCACACCTCTCTGGCTCTCTCCCTCTGTTTCTTTCTATCTCTCTCCCTCCAACAAAGCTCAACAAAGGGGTTAGAGAAGGGTCGCTGCGGAGGGGGTGGGGCAGAGAAAGAAGATAATCAAGAGCATATTAACTAAACAAAGCTCCAAAAAAGAGGATTTCCAAATAAAAATTGGAAATCGATATTTTAATACCCTTTTCATAAACAGAAGAAAAAACAAACAAAATAATTGCCGATTACCATATACAATCATCTGAACCATAACATTTTCTTAACCCAAGGGTTAATTAAAGCAGCGGTTATTCTTTGCCGAGGAATTGTGCCATAAAAGTTATCACACTTTTCGATACATTATCAGTTATTTGTGGTCATTGGCACAATCATAAGAAATTCTGGGAAAAATGCAAGGGACACACTTGTCCAAACACCGGCTTTTTCAACAATCCCTAAAACTTTTCAGGTGGTGGTGTTTCCACATTGCAAGTAAAACGCCTACCTAGATTAATAAAATAATATTTAACCTATTCCTATTGGCTGCATAATTGAAAGCTTAAACCATTAACATTAGTTAGGTCATCACTAAATCAATTCCCATAAATATTAGGCCAAAAATGAATGTTGGCGATACTAGCCCTATAAAATGCTATTCATTTCAGTCCCTAGAAATCACAGTTCAGACAAAAGTTCTTATAAATTTAGCTTAGACTTTGGTAACAAAATAAAGAGGTACTCACTTCTCCCGGTGCAGCAGACAGATGCGATCCTTGGCCACCTTCAGCTTCTTGGCGATGATCTTCTTCAGACTCTCGACGCTGATGTGCGGCTCGACGCTGACGCCGAAATTGCCGCCGGTGGTGGTGCTGATGTTCAGGTTGATCGTCATCGGGGATGGCACAACGGCACTTGTTGTTGTTGCCAAACGCTGCAGTGCATTGTTGCTGTTTCCAGAGTTGTTGTTGCTGCTGCTGCTTTTGTTGCTGCCACACCCAGCAGCTGCTGCTGCTGCTGCGGCGGCGGCTGCTGCTGCTGCCTCGTTTTGGCCATCGGCAGTGGCCGAGTTCGTGGCCGCTGACTTATCCATGTCCGGTGTTTTTTTTGTTTTCCTTAACTTTTTATTTTTTATAGAGGTTTTAGAGAGCTCACTCTCGCTCTCTCTTTCGCACTCAGGAGGACTTCACAGGCAAAAAAATAAAAGCAATATTACTGCGCGGCTGCTGTTGAAAATCGCGTAACGGCACACACGCGGCGACTGCGGCGACGATAGCGCTCTTCGGTTCAAATTGCCAATCGATTTTCTATACACACCACACCTTGCTCACACACCAACACAAGCGAGCAACACGCGCGGGCGACGTAACGGTAACCGTAACGTAACGCAAAGCAACGCACACACGAATGCCGAAGATGTTGAAGAGGAAGAGAGGCCGCTAATCGATTATCGGTCTATCAGTCAGTTTGTGGGCCGGTTGGCCGGCGGGCGAGGTGGTGCGGGGGCGGATTACGTGAGAGCGAAGGCGGAACGACAGCAACAACAACAGCGATGATGATGGCGATGATGAAGTAGTGGGTGGAGGAGGCGATAAATCTGAATCTCTGCCCAGGTACGCATGTATGTGCAAGACGAAGTGTAGACGAAAAAAACCCGTATTGCGGAGTCCCGGTTTTTTGCTTGCTTTTCCGTATTTGTAACTTTTTTTTTATTTCTGTTCACTTCAGTTCAATTTAGTTGCTGCTCGCCCCACACGTTTGTCTTGCGCTTTTCCAGTTAGTTTCTGCAACAGCTCTGCTAGCACAACCACTACACACACACACACTCGGCCTGGAGAGTCTGGCAAGTCAAGCGGCGCCAACCGCCAAAGAGCATCTAAAGGCCCGTCTATTTCAGTCGTGCTGCGGCGATGGGAAAATCCCTAAATAATACCGTAGGTATGGTACCGGTATTTGGTGTATTACGGCTTCGAAATGCAGCCATACTGATGCCATATTTATCGAACATTTTGGTGAGCGGTGCACGAAGCCTGCTATGAAACAGCTACCAGTCACGCGTTACTATCGATAGCTGACATTGTAAGCGATGGTATCGAGCATTAAGCGCATGGAAGCTACATGTCTGCCAGATTTTATAGATTATGTAGGAGGAAATGGCTTATAATCACGCCTGCTGGAAATATATAAGCACATAAAACTCGATAAAATATTCACGTGAATAGAAACGGATTATTGCAAAGTTTCGTTCATAAATTTGATAATCGCTATGAAAAGCGCTTTAGTGTGGCTGCCCTGAAAGCCCAAAGCGCGAACGCAATTCGTGGTAATATGTAGGGGGTATTCCGGTGCCCCCGCGAGTATATTTAAGCGACCGCACCGCGGCCACACCACTTCACGAACTCGATTCGCCCAGCGCACGCGGCTCTTGGACTCCAGTGGACTGGTAAGATGGCCCAACCATGTGCTCGCTGGCATACCAGTCAATTCCCATTTCGATGGGCCGATTCCCACTCCGAGCCATCAATTAACCTATTCTTCTTGATCCCAATTGTCTTTCTGCGCCGTGTGCTGTGCATCTTCTTCTTTGCCGCATTTGCGAATGTGCCCTCCTGCTAATTGCGTATCAAAAGCTCGAGAGGAATCTGTATCCAGATAAAGGCATCTGCAAGAGGAGATCATCCCAGAACCGGCGGTGTTTATCTCTTATACGGCTTGTTTTTGTCAGCTCCCCGTTGTTTGTTGACTGTTTGTTTGGGTTGAACGCACGCCGAAAATGGAGGGTAAGCCAAAGGTGAACGGCTTTGTGGAATCGACGTCGTCGTCATCGGCGCCGGCATCCCAGACGAAGAATGCCGCCGGTTACGATGCCGAGCTACAGGATGGTCTGAGTTGTAAGGAACTGTTCCAGAACGGTGAGGGACTCACCTACAAGTGAGTAGTGATCAAGCCTATGCCAAAATCGTTATCCAAATCTCATGTCATTGACCCCATCCGAAATTCCCGGCAATCCCACAACAGCGACTTTCTCATATTACCCGGCTACATAGACTTCACCGCCGAGGAGGTCGATCTCAGTTCGCCGCTGACCAAGTCGCTGACACTGCGGGCGCCGTTGGTTAGTTCCCCCATGGACACGGTAACCGAATCAGAGATGGCCATCGCCATGGCGGTAAGTATCGGATTTTAATGAATCCATAGATATATGTACCCATATATACGGCCCAGAACCGCTGGCGGGTTCGCCTGAGCTGTGCTAGCCTGTGGTTGTAACTCAACACTCTTATGCGCCTCTCTAACCGCCAATGTTTCTGTCCACTGCTCACACACCATCCAAATCCATTCGAATCCCGCGCGCAGCTGTGTGGTGGCATTGGCATCATCCATCACAACTGCACGCCGGAATACCAGGCGTTGGAGGTGCACAAGGTTAAGAAGTACAAGCACGGCTTCATGCGCGACCCCTCGGTGATGTCGCCCACGAATACGGTGGGTGATGTGTTGGAGGCGCGACGAAAGAACGGATTCACTGGCTATCCGGTCACCGAGAACGGCAAACTGGGCGGCAAGCTGCTGGGCATGGTCACGTCCCGAGACATCGACTTCCGCGAGAACCAGCCGGAGGTCCTGCTGGCCGACATCATGACCACGGAACTGGTCACCGCTCCCAATGGCATCAATCTGCCCACAGCTAACGCTATTCTCGAGAAGAGCAAAAAGGGCAAACTGCCGATTATAAATCAGGCCGGCGAACTGGTGGCCATGATTGCCCGCACGGATCTGAAGAAGGCCCGCTCCTACCCGAATGCTTCCAAGGACTCCAATAAACAGCTCCTCGTCGGCGCTGCCATCGGAACGAGGTCAGAGGACAAGGCGCGTCTGGCTCTGCTGGTGGCCAATGGCGTGGACGTCATCATCCTCGATTCATCGCAGGGCAACTCCGTCTACCAGGTGGAGATGATCAAGTATATTAAGGAGACCTATCCCGAGCTACAGGTCATAGGTGGCAATGGTGAGTATCAGAGCTCTACACGAAAGGGTATTCCAGAAATAAGGACAGTTTATACGCTTGCCTGTGTGAATTTGAAATGTTTTTAGTTCAATGCTTTCATTATATGTCCTTATCTACAACATTTTGATATGTCCAGGTATTCGATACAGTCATATAATTTTCTTTTTATACATTTATTAATGACTATCTATGGCCAATTACGTCGCGACGAAGTACTTATTATTATGGCAATAATGATTTGGGGGCAACCATATTGTTATCTTTAATATCACGAGATGGCAATTGGGTTCAAATAAACATAGGGTGCAAGTTTTCAAACCGATTTTTAGTTAATTGCCCAGCTTAACTTTTGCTTTTAAATGATCAACAATTTTTTTATATTTATTTAACAGTGGTAACACGTGCCCAGGCCAAAAACCTAATTGAAGCAGGCGTCGATGGACTGCGTGTCGGCATGGGCTCCGGTTCCATCTGCATCACCCAGGAGGTGATGGCCTGCGGATGTCCTCAGGCCACGGCTGTCCACCAGGTGTCCACGTACGCTCGCCAATTCGGAGTGCCGGTGATCGCGGACGGAGGCATCCAGTCCATTGGACACATTGTGAAGGCGATTGCCTTGGGAGCCAGCGCTGTAATGATGGGCTCCCTGCTGGCAGGCACATCGGAGGCACCGGGCGAGTACTTCTTTTCCGACGGAGTGCGCCTAAAGAAATACCGCGGCATGGGCTCCCTGGAGGCCATGGAGCGCGGTGATGCCAAAGGCGCTGCCATGTCGCGCTACTACCACAACGAGATGGACAAAATGAAGGTGGCACAGGGCGTCAGTGGCAGCATCGTGGACAAGGGCAGTGTGCTGCGCTACATGCCCTATTTGGAGTGCGGACTGCAGCACAGTTGTCAGGACATCGGTGCCAACTCCATTAACAAATTGAGGTGGGCTAATATAGTCATATTTCCAAGGAACACTAAGCTAATCTTAATCTGCTTGTCATTCTCCCCAGGGATATGATCTACAACGGCCAACTGCGCTTCATGAAGCGCACCCATTCCGCTCAGCTAGAAGGCAATGTCCACGGCCTCTTCAGCTACGAGAAGCGCCTCTTCTAACATACGACGATGGCTGCGACGGAAATGGGCAGTGGAGGAGTGGCTGCCCCTGTCCAACAGCAGCAGCAACACCATCAGCAGCAACAGCATCGCCACCGATCTGGAGCAGGCCATCTGCTCGACTACACCCGCCTATTCGATCGCAAGTGAAAGTGAAAGAGAATCGCTCGAATAGCGCGTCCTTTTCCCCTGGAGTTTTACCAGTGTTAGGTTAAGTCTCGTAGGAATCGCCGACGTTAAAGCTTACGATTCCAATATAGATTCCCATTTTTGGTGGCCTTGCAGGTTACCTCGAATCCCCCAAATACATGTGTATACCCTATCCATCTGTCTGGTAGACAGAATCTTAATTATAAGTGTTTGCAGGTTATTCAATCTGTATAGAATCTATGTAATCTTCATATATGTATATGCTATATATATCTTTATCTACATCAAGTGCAACGCGTTGGTTGGCCGCTTACTTATTTGGCACGCTATATGTACATAGATGTTAATCTCTATTTGTATAGTGTTGGATGTTTACTATTATAACGAAGCTTGCTTCAAGTTTAAAAACTCTGCCAAACTTATTAAATGTGAACTGAAAGTAACTGAAAAGTATTCCCAAGCGATTTTCAATTATTACCTCGTAGGTCAACCTTATCTACACTCTGTGAAAGGGTTTTAGCCCTTATCAGCGCACCTAGTAATGCAATATGTTTTACGTTGTTGTTATCGATTGTAGACACTGGGATTCTGGCTGTTGGCCGATTTAGTATGCCTTTTGTGGCTAGGAGAGGATACAGTGCAAGGAGATTTTATTAAAACAAATCAGATGAAGTTCACTTTTTAGAATATATATGCATATATTTCGATATATTGAAGTACATATGTAAGTATACGTTTGATTAAAGATTGAATTTAGCAATGAATCGAAAAGATTTTGATGTTGGTTAACCCTTGGTAAGGACACTTAAACAAGCTATATACAGTATACAAAAATGCCGATAAGAGCCAAAGTATAGACATAGAAAATTGGGGTTACGTACGAGATTTTTCGAAAGCAGTCACTCAAACACACCACACACAATATTTCTCGCGCTCTTTAGCTTGTTCTTGCTTACTCACACCCATTCAGGCTTATCAAAAATATATGTATGTATATGTTAGTATATATGTATATGTATATGTGTATATATTTGGAGCTAAAGCCTCATTTTCACGACCTGATTTCTCTGCTCAGTCCCACACAAATCGTCCTTTTCACGCTGAACCTTGAGTTCCAATTAGTGGTGATTCGTTCTAGCAAAGCATGCAGTTAATATCTTTAAAATACTAAGGTATTCAACATTCAATTAAGTAAATTTGAGGCTAAAAAAGTTATGGAAAGAAAAAAGCTAGCATTGAGTTATTCTTGAACTACTTGACGCAAAAGATGTTGTTCGTATTTTCATAACTTGGCTGAGAAATCAGTTCGCAAAAATGTGTCCTATAGGAAAACATCCATATCGGTACAGATAAGTTCGAATCGCATGGACTGGGTCGGATCCAATTGGGATCCGATGGGGCTACTCAGTGGGCGGGATTGTCGGGGGCGAGGCAATGCCATTTCTCGTGGAAGTGATCGGGCAATCGGATGCAGTCGAGCCACTGCTGGAGGCGTTCGCCCTTGCTTTGGGCGCCCAGTTGCAGGCTGCCCAGGAAGTCGTTGCTCTTGCCGAGATCCTTGTCCCAGACGGTCAGGATGAGCATCTCCTTGTTGAGGTCGTGGGGACTCGCCTCGAAGTAGAACTCCTCGTTGTAGATGGGATTGAGCGTGCGCCACTTGACGCTGGTCTTGTGCTTCTTGTTCTTGTGCGCATCCGGTTTGAGTTGGCTATTGGAAGAGGTAATCGCTGTAGATGTGAGGAATTGCCTGGTGACCTATATAACCCAGAACTCACATCTTGACGAAGGGATCGGAGCTGCCGTTGTTATCCATGGCCATCAGGTTGATGCACTGCTTCACGTTCACCACCAGCGCCCTGCGTTTGGTGTTGTAGCAGAGCGAGAGGAGCATCTTGCCATTGGGCCAGTTCTGGGCCATTTCCGCCGCGTTGCTGTACTGGTCCTCCACGCCGAGTGGCACCGATATCCGGTACTGCGAAGTGCTGTGCACCTGGAAAGGAATCAGTTGTTGATATTTACTTCAAAAAATATTACAAAAATTGTTTAGAAACTTTCCGGCCTTTGTCCATTAAAGACTTTCGTCGGCAGTTGCTAGTTCAAATGTTTTGGAATCCAATTAGTAGTTGTTTTAGCCAAAAAAAGTTGAAAGCCAACGAGAAGTACCCAACTGTAGAATCTACTTAGCTTTACGAAATTAACCGACTTCCTTTGTGCCAAAACGTTTGTGCATAAATTCACTTGGTTAGCAGAATTCGCCGGAAGGCCTTATAAGCAATTACGCTTCCTAACGGATGTCGAGTTGTACACGGAAAGAAACTAGTACGTGCTAGCACTGTGCTTTCAGTTTATATGCGGATTAGGCTTATGGATTATAACTAAAATAGAAAGTGCTTAAAACTCATTCAGAGGTCTAAAAGTGAGCATAAAATAGTAGTTATTTTTTAGAGATATAGTGATATTTTTTCTGCAGTGCAGGGAAACTCACCGTGGAAAGGCAGACCTTGGCCGCACCGAGAAAGTCGTGGCCGTACTTGTCGTCGTCGAAGAGAGCCACGTAAATCAGCGAGTTACCCAGCTCCTCGGGCTCCACGCCGACGAACTGCAGCGTTTCGTTGAACTCCGGATTGCGGGTCTTGTGCACCGTCTTTGTGCGCTGCCATCGCGTGTACTTGGTGTGCGCCTCCGGCGTGATGATGTTGAGCTTGCAGTACGGGTCCGTCAATCCGGCCGCATCCATGGCGGGCAGATCCCTGGCCCGCACCATGGTGCAGTCGAGGCTGTGGAAGGCCTCCCGATAGCTGATGGCAATCTCCAGCCAGCCGAGCAGGGGGTCCCGGCAGTGCTGCTGGAGCTGTTGCTGGTGCTGCTGGTAGTGCGACTGCGATTGTGAGTTGCCGGAGTTGTTGGATCCGGAGCCGGAACTGTCGCTGATCGACCAGGACGAGCTGACGGAGCCGCGCCGCAGGAAGCTGCTCTCCCGCCTCAGCTTCGACATGCTGACGCTGTCGTATTCCGGGCACTCCGACGGCCGTTGACTTTGCTGGCGGCTAAAGAAGAAGGAGTTAGACAGCTTCCGTTCGCTGCCGTCGATGAAGCTGCGTATGGAGCCGTAGGCCCTCAGCCGGAAGCTATCCTCCCGCTGCAAACGGGCGGAGGTTATGCCCTTGGCCATGCCCCCACCGCCGCCGCTGACGCCTACTCCTACGCCGGTGTCCACCTCGTCCTCCGGCTCCGAATGGCCACTGCTGCTGGAGCTGCTGTCGTTCACCCGGATCGTTAGCTTCTTCACCCGCGCCGGTCGTGTTGGCGTCGCATGACAGCTTTGAACGGCCCGCGTGTCGCCTGCGATAACAGATACAAAATGAGCGATTAGCGATTGACGTCAATCGATAGCGTGTCGATTTTCTCGATAACAAAAGTGCTCTAACTCGTTTTGAATTTTGGATTTGAATGAAGCAATACCTTAACAATAGGCCGAGGTGCAATTCCGATAATCTGTTTCGTGCAATAATAGCGATAGTCGTACGGTGATTTGATAGCCGATTATGACTGCGCTGTATCGGTATCGATAACAATCGAAATGCACCTAAAACTGATCATCAAACATTAGGTAAACCGCCTGAAAGACTGTGGCTATCAGATTCCGATTCACAGACTGCGATCTTTTCGATAAGCGATAGACTAGATAGAAGACCGATTATTGCGATGGGCGAGCGATGATAATAGCGATAGTCGTTGATAAGTCGAAGGTAATTAGTGGTGTTGCTTTAAATAACAGATTATATTTATCGACGACTGATGAATTTGAGCTGGAATTGGAGAAACATCAAAGGAACACGAGAAGAATTCTTGTGTCTTGATTAATTTCATTGTCATTTTTGGCGAACCGATTTGGAGTTTAAATTGCTTAATGACTCTGAACGAACTACACTTATTGGCTTTTTATATTAACCCATCCGGCTGAAGCTCTGATTATGGTTACCATAAAGAAGCGTCTATAACGATTTATTGGGAATTGGACTATGGAAATGGAAACGTTTCATGATGTTCCTGAAACGAAATTCGAAAACAATTGTTTAGCTGTTTTTTAAAGCCATTTGTGGGTACCGTGGGTGTTCATAATTCAATATTTCACTTGTTTGGCATTCAAGAACCTTTGTGTTTTTGTTTCATACAAATGTGTTCAAAAGTAAAATAATTTACGCTGCACCGCCTTTGTTAATTTCATATTGTAAAGTTTCCGGCTTAAAGTTTCATTCGGAAATGTTGGGTCTTCATAAAATTCCTTTTGGGCTTTGGCGCCGTTCGAGGGATTAAAATATAAAATGGGTAATAAAAACTTTTGCATATATACTTCAACTGGCCTTGAAAGCTCCTCCCCGTATGTATCCAATTAAATATTTCACCTTGACTCCGAGCAACATAAAAAGTAAGTGGTTAAAAAAATATTTCCTTCAATTTACTAAAAACACAGTGGAATAAAAATGAAACCAAGAGATGCAGCTCAAGTGTAGTATCTATGCGGCATTTAATGTCTGAAGCATTTGCCTGATTCTGTGTGGTAAACTAATGTTATTATCCCTACATAGCTGAAGGTTTCGGTTAGATTCCAGACTAACTTTGAGGAAGGAATGGGTGCAAAGGGTTTGAATTCCCAGCACGTCCCACTGACAGTGCCCCTTATCTTTCGCTGCCATTCGCAGAGAAAACCCCCTCCCAGAATCTGGAGCCACCCACCTGCCATGGATCCGGGCGCCGGGGTGGGAATGGGCGTGGCACTGGCGCTGCGCGGCATGTCGTACTTGGGCAGACCCTTGAAGAACCACGCGCCGGACTTCTTCCACATCTCGCGCGTCTCGGAGCAGATGCGGCACAGCCAGATCTCGCGTGAGCGCTCGCTGGTGTGGTAGCGGATGTTGATGTCCACGCTGCACTTGGCGCACACCGACTGGCGGCAGTCCTCGCACAGGATGCGCTGCGGTCGCAGGATGCCGAAGGCGTCGCCGCACAGGCGACAGCAGTTGGGTCCCCGCTCCACGGCATGCTGCTTGATCTTCTCGACCCGCTCCACCAGGCGGCCAACCCGCTGCCGCTCGGCCACCTCGATCTCCTCGTTGCGCCGGATCACCGAGATGATGGCCTCCTGCTCCTCGGGGCGCAGCGGCTCACTGGTCTTGGAACTGCTCCAGCCAGCTTTCAATCTGCACGAGAAATAAATGGACACATTAAATAGTAAGTCCAAAAGTGTGACACAATACATTTTAAACACAAAGTCTCAAGGTCTGTATATTTAGTTAAATGGTAGAAATTAAACCCTTTATCATACGATAACATACTATTCAACTAAGTTTAAGAAGCACCAAACATAATGACCTATCTTTAATTATTTATAATTTTAAGGCAAAAATAAATGTTCCATTTGACCGTGATGCATGTGGTTTTCTGTGGTGTTGTGCGGGAAGATGTGCAATTATTTAAGCGACTGCTTCTATGAAAATTCCGAAAATGCGTGGTCTGGGAACGAGTGGGCACCTAATCCTAATGAGCATCGTTAGTTGTGGGTCGCCTAATGCGGTTTCCATGTTGCCCAGCCACTCGGCCAAAAATTTCAGGTTCAAAGTTAATTAACTCGTTCGTGCTGTTAAGTCCCGAGTGCTCGGTTAATTTCACCCATTACTCATAAAGCGGATGAGTCTGTGGATGCCGAATGGAGGTTTGCCTAAATGGAACGCCAAATGAAAAATGTGCTAAACAAACAAGTTGAATACGGAAATAATAAGATATTCAACAAATAGTCCAAACAAGCCTATTTCTCAATGAATATGTGAGTGTTGCATACTTTTCACACCTTTCCAAGTGACTTGGTACGTATGGCGTACGCTTTCGGACCTAATTGAAAACATAATTGCTATAGTAACTGGCAAAACGAATCCACAGAGCTGGCTCATTTGCATAGTTCCTGATTGTTTCGCTTCGGCATGTTATGATTCAGCTTCGTTTCAGCTTCTTGACGGTGTGGGTGCGGTGTGGTTGCCTTCACGCCGGGTTTATTGACTTCTCGTGTACGTAAAGCATATATGAACACACATATATCTGATTGTGGGGCCATGTGCGTTTACTACCCCCGTTTGTGGGTGGGTCGGGTTCTTTTTTCGGGCCGTATGGGCGGGGCGTTGGCTTAAATGCCCTTGTAGGTTCCTTAACATAATAATTAAATTACAAATTCGGTTAGTGCTCTATCAACATTTGCCTCTGCGGCACGAGCTTCTCTCCGAGTAAGCAAATAAACAAGGAGCCGCACTCCACGCACTCAAAGTTTCGCCCGATCGAGCCACTTGAGTGACATTAACCCATGTCCGCCGGACAGCAACAGGGATGGTGTCCTGTCCTGCGAGTTGAGTTGAGGCGCCCAAATGGATGGATGGCCAGGGCGAAGTTTATTGTTCCAGCAATCAGGTTGTTTAGTGCTCTGCTCAAACTCGCTCTCATCCGAGATTCGACCATGAACTAAGCTGCAGGGAAAAAACGAGGATGGCAAAGAACTTTACTCACACATGACTGCATGACAAAGTCAATTGTTCAGCTTACGTGAAATGTAATCTCTCAAAGGATAAACAAGGATTCGCCGTGAAATACGTTAAGTCTGGCGTTTGCATAGGATGTAATTTACATTGGAATACCAATACACAGGACTGCCAGTGTTTGTACTTTCACGTTTTCAACGAATATCCGAACAGCTCAAAACGCCATGCAATATGTTTAATTGAAAAGTTTTCGCACAAGAACAAATATGAAGGTCTGCTCCTAACGAAAAGAAGCCTCAATTTACCATCAATTCACAAATGTGTTCAAAGTTGAAATTGAAGTCACAGGCAAAAGAGGAAAGAACACGAACAAAATATAACGTGCAGCTCAATTTCCCTTTGAAATGGGGGCAAAAAAGCGCTTTCCATGCGCTCTGTAACATTATTATGTTTCTGAGTAAAAGGAAAACTTTTTCTTCGAATTCGCTTTGCCACTTCTGGTGTCCTGGCCTCATGCATGCCGTATGTATTTCAAGATGCGAGTCTCTTAGCTGCCCTGCTATTCTAAGCACCCCCTGCCTAAGGATGATTTCCAGATAAATGCCGCCAGTGTTACTTTGCGGCTTCGAATGAATTTAATAAGAGTCAAAGTGCTTGTCATCAGATTTGGTGGCCTGGCAAAGATCGTCTCATTTGCATAGTTAAGCATGGAGTAGCGTCTGGCATTTGGCCGCGATTTGAGTTTGCCGTTAATTCTCGACTTCTTCTGCTCCATCTCTCTCTTCGTGGTTGTGAGTGTGTGTGTGTATGTGTGTGGCAGCTCCCTTGAGCTGTAATTTGAATTTCAAGTACGGAGCCAATGCCACGAGCAGCAGCTCACTGCCTCGCGGTTCGCCCTTCGAACGCAATTCAGGTCCACCCTGAACTCACTGTAACCCCACTAACTGACTGGCCAAGTCAAAAGCTCTTTGTTTCTATGCTGCTGTGCGTTAGGGTGGCCCTGGTTCCACGTTGAGTAGTAATCGGGTGAAACGTGACTCCTAAAGGCCATGAAACCCAGAAAAAAATGATATGCAATATGCATATCACTCATACGCAGTGTTGTACTTGCGCATTAATTATTTTTGTGGCTGTAGTGAGACTGCAAACGTTTTTTATCGCATCCATTGCCTACTCATATTGATATGATATATTTGCCTTTTAAATGCACCACTTCAAATGATTTGCGCTTCATAAATTACTCATACGCAGTGTGGCTCCTGTTAATTACTTGAACATATTTGTGTTTGGCCTATGCTCTTCATTCAGTATTGAAATTAATTTAAAATATATCAAAATAAGTAATGATATTCGAAACATTTGTGCTTTAAATTAACTTGAACAAAAAACATAGTACCCCCAAAGTGGCCATGGAGTTACCTTTTAGTTAATAAAGAAGCGTTCAACTAAGGTCCACCCCAATGAGTCTGGCTGTGTGCGAGAGCGAGAACGCTTACAATGTAGCGGGCGAGCGGAAGTGTAAATTGCACACTTCAAACCTGCCAGCCTTCAACTCCCCACCCCACCCCACCACACCGCACTTAAGACCCACCCATCCACTAAAAAAATAAAAAAAAAAAAACACCCGCTGTGCGTGTCTGTGTGCGGCTTTTTGTATTTTTAATGCGCCCAAGTCGCATTTACAGTCAGCTGGGATTGATTTGAGTCGAGTTGGTTGGCCCCAAACAGTATGCTACACGAGCATATGTTGGGGATATGGTCGTTGGTTCTGGAACTGGTGGATTTTTGGGTGTTTCATCGAATCATGTAAATGGTCCGCGCCATTTTTGTTGCTTTTTATTTGGTGATTGCGTTCTTTTTTCTGAAGTGCAATAAATAAATGAGAGGCGCAGCGAGGGCCCATAAAACTGGCTGCGAAAGTCGTAAAAAATTGAGCGTTATTAAAATTTAATTAGTCTGTCAGCATGCAACAATTATGATTAGAGTTCCCGCAAAAAGCACACATGGTCACATGCGGCTTTCCTTGAAACTACTTGACAGCTCAGGGACACTCTACGTATTACACACGCACACGCACACACACACACAGAGACACGTCTATATCTCGGCGACTTTCGCTGTGTGAGTGCGCACATGTATTTGATTTGATTAGGCTTTCGGCTAATCAGCCGCAACCACACACACGCACACACAGTCAGAGTTAATTAAATTATGACTAAAGCTTTTGTCATGTTTGTCACTGGTTGTTTTTGATGCAATAACACACAGCCACAAAGGCTCAAAAAAAAACAAAAAAAAGGAAAGAATAAAAACGCTTATCGCTGCAGCTGTTGTGACGCACTCGGCCAATTGTTGCATTTCAATGCCACCTTCGAGGATAACGCGCCGTACCCACTGCACGCGAATGCAAACGCGAAAATGCACCGTACTTACTTGGCACGCAGGGCCAGTTGCCTGTCGCTGGGGCAGACAAACTTGTTGGCCGTATTGTTGCGATTCTGGAAGTCCATCTTGTCCTCTTGTCACATTATATTCGTATATCGAGGCTCCGGCCCGCCGAAACTCCAGTCCGCTGGCCACTTGTTTGTGTTGCTCGCTTTGGAGGCCCAACTGTTGTTGGCGGCACCGAGCTGCGGAGCGTTGCGAATCGGCTGCGAAAACGGATGCGAAAACACGTCCGAGTGCGTGAGCAGCTGGTGTGCGACTGACGCAAAGCGTTTCAAAGGCGAACGGCCAAACAGGCTGGCCTTTACCGTTATCGCAGCCGGTAGGGATGGCACTTTCGAGTAACGGGAAGTGCTAGTGACAGCCCTTTCTAATCGCCAGCTTTCGTTGCCTACTTATTGGGTACACATATGTACATAAATTGAAGTCGAACTATCTGCATTTTTACATGCATGTTTACAGAACATTAAAAACATTTTACTAAGCAACCTGATTTCAAATAATATCAATAAATCTCTACAACTTTAAGACCAAAATTTAAAGCTATTCAATCCATTAAGGCGTAAATGGAGGCATATGTGTTTTTCTCTTAGATTAGTACTATAATTTCTTATTTTCAACATTATTAATGGGGAGGCCATCTCTGGTAACTATCGCCTTGCCAACAGCCCCCCTCGCCTGTTGCACTGTGGAGTTGGTCAACGGCCATATGGCCACGCGCAGGAAGATGCCAAAGTGCCGAGCGGCGAGGCGCAGGAACGAGGAAGCGTTGTGCGGGATTTGGAGCTTTGTCATATTTGCACGCGCACAGGCCGAAAGCACAGCTCGCGGCCCCACGCCTTTCACAACGCACAAATGGTGCGAACATTATTTTGACATTTTTGTGAAAATATACAGAAATAGCTAGAAATTGTGAAAGTTCTAATACTTGTATTTTTAAAAATCACATAATCAACACCTTACTTATAAGTTTTGCTTTTAATTCAAAAGTATTTAAAATTGGGAGTTTACAATATAGCCAACATTCTAATTTAAAAATATTTTTCTTACACTTCCACTTTTAATTGTCTATAGCAGTTTTCCTTTTTGGCGTGAAAATAGCCATGTGCTCAGCACTGTAGAAAGGCTTGGTCTATCTGCCTTTCGTTCGTTCTCTAAGGATTAGGCATAGCTTTATCTCGCTCTCCCACTTTTTCGCAACATAATTGTATTGCATACTTCCCAGTGGGGCGTTTTGCAGAAGGAGCATCAAAAAAAAAAAGATAACGGCATCTCTTCAATGCGAATTCGGCGACAAAGCGTGCTAAATTCCACGCAGCCAAGGATTCAGCACAACGCCGAGTTTTAGCTTACAAAAATGCCATTCCCACTGGAGCATGAAATTCTTCACAGACTCTGTTTGAACCGTGGCTCAGGGTCCGGCCTGCGTGGAAATGCCAGCTCGTGAATGCGACGCTGAAGTGGTGCGAAGGCGGGAGAAAGGTGAAAGTTTTACGACCCAAAACGGAGGCATGCTGCTCGCCTCGCATCACCTCGCATCGCCTCGCCTCGGAGAGGTGTATCAACTAATGTCAAAGGCGACAGGCCATTGCCGTGCCACTCACGTACATGTCCTGCGGCCGCTTTGTGCGTGCGTGTGTGTGTGGGGGTCTGTCTGCCCGTCTGCGTGTATGTGTGTGTGCTTTGCATGCATGCGGCCGAGTGGTGCCACGCCCACATACGCAGCCAAGTGGAATTCATGCAGCATTAGTTGCTGGTTGTTCACAGTTTGGGCGGGAGCATCACCCCTTTCTCTCACTGCGTGTCCATTTTAAATGAATGCTGACAGCTAAATGAAAATATTTAACGTACGTGCAAAGTCCTGGACGACTGCTGACATTTCGCACGTCTCGTCCTTTTCGTCCAGCCTCACTGCCATCCAAAAATTGTCCATCCAAACAAGAGTGTTGTGTTGTGTAGTGTTGACACTGTGTGACGGGCTTTCGCCGTTTTATTTTTTTCGTTGCCTCTGGAAAGTTGTCATCGCTGTTTGCCTTCCAGTTGTTGCCAGTTGTTGTTGTTTTTTTAGCAGTAACTGTTGACAGGATTAGGCATTCAAAGCGCGTCCGCACCATCATCCCACCCAGCCTGACATGCCAGCAGCGGCAATTGTCCTTGGAGCCGGATACTGGGGATGGGGCAAGCCATAGAACCGTAGCCATTGGCTAGCAGCTATTTGGCTTAATGAGTGCCAGCTTGATTTCGAGCTGTAGGCCAGCGCACCTCGACGTCCCTTTTCTCCAGCACTTAGTGTGGATTATCCACTTTTTTTGGCCCTACTCCCACTGAAGTTAATTGATATTATCTGTGATTTTATCTTTGCTTGCTCAGCACATCCTTGTTTTAGTCTTGGGAGCTTCACTTCAGCTGGATAACAATGATTACTTTGGGTGATTATCAACAGCTATTAGCCAGACTTACACGTTTGAAGTAATAATTTGCCTACTCTGCCAACCAATAGCATTCCAATGAAGGCGTTCATCAGGTTTCAATTTGTATATCCATATTCATTTATTTTTCAGCACATTTTCAATCTTTTTTAAATGTTTTTCGCTTCTGCCTACATATTTCTTTTTATTATTTTTATTTTTTAGCGTTCTTTGCTTGCTCTGGCTTGTTTGTCTTTTGCACAATTTGCTTTTTATTAGTCGCGACTAGTTGCGTCTCCCTCACTTTCGTTACATTATTAAAACGATACTCACACGGAAAATTTCTAAGGTATTGTTTGTTGTACATTGCTAAAATATAATATATAATTTAAGCTCTGGCTATTGTTGTGGATGCTGCTACTCGCGATACATATTCATTTTTTTTCCTAATCTAGTCTACAAGGTAAATTCCTCAGGCTTTCACGCCGTCTCCTTTCTTCTCGCGGTCACACTCACATGCAATATATAATTTGACTAAGAGCGAAAGCCGCAATATACAAAATAATTTAAACGAAAACGGAGGAGTTGGGGGAAAAGATCAACAGAAGACATCGCTACCGATTTTCTAGTCCCGTAAAGCTTTCTGCTTGCCCGCCTTCTTGCTCGCCCCCGCCGACTGACGAGTGGGCGTGGTCGCAGTTGCTGCGCTCACCGGCTTTTTGTGGAGCCTCTTGTGGTAGCTCTGAGCCAATGAGTTCACAATGGACACCACGAAGTAGCACACCATGCCGATCACGAATGTCTCGAAGATTCGCGACAACAAATTGCCCGAATCTCCAGCTCCGGATGCCGCACCAGCCGCTCCTCGCTGCTGGCGATGCAGACGCTGCTTCTGGTTGTTCAGGAAGGACTTGAACGGCTCCTGCAACTTGTGGCCAAGCACTGGCAGCGAGGCCAACAGATCGACGGCCCGCTCGATCAGCGTCTCGTTGAAGGCGATGATCACGAAGATCTTCTGGATGTGCATCTTGATCACCGCCTTGCCAATCAGCGTGGCACCGAAGAACGTCCAGAATGGCACCAGGAAGTGGCCGCAGGTGATGCCTGCCAGGTCGAACAGGGGATTGGGAATCTGCGGGGTATGGACACATTGTTAGTAAGACAGTCGGATACGAAACGAATATTTCAAAGGAAAACGAAATGAAATATAAATTAAAGTAAAGTTGAATGCTGATTGGCAGACTACTCACGCTTGCACAGGCCAGGATGCCAAAGAATCCGACGCGCTCCACCACGCGCTCCATGAACAGCTTGCCCTTGTCCATCAGACTGAGGTTCTTTTGGTGGCGCTTCGCGTTGAGGGCCTCGAACTCGGCCAGCTCCTCGGCATCCTCCGGATCGTAGCCGGATAGCCTCGCCGCCTTGGCCATAAAGTATGGCGGCAGTTCGCCCAGCGCTGTGCCCGCTCCCCAGAGGAAGGCCTCCATGCGCACTTTGGACATGATGGACCAGATATTCGGCACCTTCTTGTCGTACGGCTCCTCGGGACAGATAATACTGTAGGAGTAAGCAGAGAACAGCGAGTTAGTTAACGAGGCATGAGTGGATAACCTGGAACATGGATATACTCACTCATCGGGATACGGTGGCTGTGGGAATCGCAGCGAATTGCACTCGTAGGCGGCCAGCGTGACACTGGCTATGTGCGGCCCCAGGTAGAGCAGGAACGTGTGCAGTCCGGTGCCCAAGCCCACCGAGGAGAGAACGCCCAGTCCCAGCCAGTAGACAAAGAACCAGGTGTTTCGGCGCACAAACTCGATGGCCAACTGATGGGGGCCGTCTATCTGGTAAATTACGCTAAATACGATGCCTAATACTATCAGAACGGCCAGCAGGAGACGCTGTTGCAGTAATCTGTCAAGAAAGAATTGGTTAGGATTGTTTTCAATATGGGACTACTTCCGATCTTCCCACCTGGTGCTCCACGTGCGCAGCAGGGTGAACAGCTCGAGGCCGCAGTACTTGGTGGTCTGCAGGGGACGACGCCAGAGGACCAGCTGGCTGCGTTCCGAGCGCTCCCGCTCGCGTTGTTTGTCTTTTTGGTTCTTCTTCGCCTTGCCGCCAGCGGCCAGCAAGGATGTGGCGGAGGAGCCGGTCTCCTGCATGCTGCTCCCGCTGAGGCTTCTGCTGCTGCCGCTGCTACTGTTGTTGCCGCTGCTGCTGCTGCTGCTGCTCTGCTTGACTTTGCTGCCGGGCGATTTCGAGGGGGTTTTTTGGCTGTGGGAGTGGGTGGTGGTGGTGTTTGACTGGTGTGGCGCCTTCAGGCTGCCGTTGGCCGCCTGCCGCTTGTGGCTCTTGTTGTTGCTGCTACCGCTGGTGCTGGTGATGTTGCTATTGCTGTTGCTGTTTCCGCCGCTGCCGCTGTGGCGATTGCTCTGGGCCGCATGGCTACCGCTAGTGCTGCTGCTGGTGGAGTCCTTTTTCGAATGCTGTGACATTTAAGCGGTTGGCTTGCAAGCGGCTGTGTTTTGTACGGTGTTTGCAATGAAATAACAAAATAAGAGCAATGTAAGTCACGGAAATCAGGAACCAATTAATTAATGTGGAACACAAGGCGGTGCACGCGAATTGTAATGGAAAAGGAACAGAAATTTCAAATTCCCGTCTGCGGACACCTGATAAACTGATAATTGAATCGACCGAAGGTGCAAAGTGTACGAGCTGTTCTACGATCCAGTTTCGGTTTTGTTTCGTCTGCCTTGCTACAACACGGGTACTATCCATTTGGAGAACAGCACGCTGAGATCGCATAGATTCGCTGAGGTTCACTGGCTCTGATAAGGGGAT